TAAAGATAAATATATTTCTATAAATAGTTTAATTAAATAATATATTTATTATCTAATGTATATATTGATATAAAATTTTTTGGTATATCAATGGCAACAACCATGATTAAGTAATTAATAATAATAAAGCAATAAATTTAAAAATTAGATTAAAAATAAAGTATTATAAAATAAAATTGTAATAATTTGATTAAAATTGTAATTTTTAATTAATTAAGTTAATGAGGAATTAAAATGTAATAATTTGATGTGTTTAATTTTTTTAATATAAATTTTTAAAATATAATTAAATTTCAATTGAAATTTTCAATTGAAAAATAAATTAAAGAATATTTGTTATTAAACTTTTCTTTAACAATGTATTGAATAATTAATATCACTCTAGTCTTAATTTATTACAATTTAAATTTTTAATAAATTTGATTTATTTTTAATAATATTTTTATTTTAGTAATTTAAAATTAAAGTTAATCTTCATTTTGTTAATATTGAGACCAAAGTTTATTTTTAAATTATATTTTAAAAATTAAATTATTTTAAAAAATAAATTACTTTTAAAAAATAAATTGTAAAAAATATACTAAAACAATTAAAATATATTTATAAAAAAATAAATTTAAATATAATAAAAAAATAATATTCATTAGCGACCGATTTCAATTTGGTCGCTATTTTCTCATTAGCGACCGATTTTAATTCGGTCACTATTTCAATTTGTGATTCGATCGCTAAATCAGTCGCTAAATGATTTTTTTATTTTAGTATGGAATAACCACCGATTTAGCGACCGAAATTTTACGACGCAAACTATTATTCGCTATTTCGGTCGCTAAATAAAAAAGTGAAACCAAATCATATTTTGGTGGCTAAATCGGTCGCTAAATTGCGATCAATTAACTCGATCGCTATTTGCAACCAAGTAAATCGATCGCTAATTGCGATCAAATTAAATCGGTCGCTAATTACGACTGAAAAATTCGATCGCTAATTTCGGTAGCTAAATGTGTTTTTTTTGTAGTGAAATTTTAATTTAAAAAAATCTTAAAGTTATCTAAAATAATTATTTTTAACTTCAGAAAATCATATCTATTAAAAAATTAAAATATTTTATTTTCTGTAACAATTACTGTTAAAGAGTAGGATTATCAAAATGAGTTAATGAGTTCAATCTAACTCATTGTTTAGTAGTAAGTAAAAAAATTTATAATCTGGCTTGATTGTAATGTCTAGGGATTTTCCACATTTTAAATAAAACGTGTTAACCTATTATTTCTGTGTCTATGCATTATGTGTATATCTATATGGTAAAAGTGATAATTATATGGTTAAATCATAATCATATTATGTCAGAATTAAACATTTCAATTGTAAAACATTGATTTATAATAAGATGAACACCATCCCTTAGTAATAATATAATATAACTTGTACATGTGAAAGTTGGGCCATGTTTTATTATTAGAAAAAATTATTTGTCTTCTAAATTTTATGCACACTTCCTCTTCCCAATATAATTTAATTTAAGACACCATGCTAACCTATATCATGTATAACTCGTTGTTACGAAATGAATTAACAAATTTTATTTTATACAACTAACCATGTGAATGCTTAGCTCACAATATTCTTTAAACTCACTTTCTCTGAAAATCCGCGAAGTGCATGGCAAATATTCTTGATTGCTATATAGAGAAATCAATGCCACAAATCTATATTTCTAGATATAATAATAATAATAATAATAGTAATAGTAATACTAATATTAATAGTAACAGTAGATACAACAAAATTAATGTCCATTTATGAAAACTAAAAAAAGAATCATAATTTTATTAATTTGTAGGACAAATACCCACCCTATAGTTTATTGCCCCAAAAAGTTTGGTATATCGATAACCGCCATGCATGGTTGAATAATTTTGGGAACACTGTTCCTTTAGGGAGTTACAGACCAACATATTTTAAATTAGCATTTGCATGAGCATATGGGTTTTGCTTGAATTTGAAGGGGTGATATTAAAAGATAGGACCTAGCTAGATGGGTAGATAGAGAACAAGAAAAGCACACCCTATGACTATTGAATTCAATCCTTGTAACTACGTTTTGTTTCCCACTGTTTTGTAACTTTCCATCCCTATAGGTACCCAATTGCCCTATGTGTCCCCAAAAGAAAAGGAAAAAGAGAGACAAGAAGATCAGAAAATGGTATCGTTAGTAGTACAAATGATCGACTAATGCAAGCATTGAAGATGGCTTTTTAGCTTCCATAGCTCTTCATTTCAATGTAACATTTGTGCTCTTTATTTTATCATTCATGGTGGACGACCACATGGAAAATTCATCCAGGTGGTTGATGGAAGCATTCATTAGATAGGCGCATAACCTAATACAAACATCTTGGAATTCAACGAATGAGTTAAGTCTCGATAAGAAGAATAAGGAAGACTATAATTCAATGTTTTAAGATTTTAGACTGATAATAATATTAATTTTTACATGGATTGAGAGTAATGTCAATTCTCAGTAATGGATTTTAATCATTGATCTTGGGAGGTCAAATAATATATTATTAATAAATAAATAAAAAAAGATGAAAGGGTAAAAAAATAACATTCTAGATATATACTTAAATATATTAAATGATCATTAAGTTTGAGGGGAACAAAATCATAAATTATATGAGAGTTACAAAACCGAGGAGGGATATATACTTAAATATATTAAATGATCATTAAGTTTGAGGGAACAAAATCATAAATTATATGAGAGTTACAAAGCTGATGAGAGGTGAGAGATAAAATTGTAAATATACAAATAAATATATTAAATGTTCATTATGTTTAGAGGGTCAAAATCATAAATTACATGAGAGTTACAAAACTTTGGGTGAGTCATGACCCCCTCAACTCCTAAGAAGATCCTCCACTGTCAATCCTTATATAAATTGAACTCATGTCTCATTAATATTATATCTCCCTTAAAATACCTATCAAAACATAACTTGTAAGTTGAGACGAGAAAAGATCTATGACAGTATAATGAACACAGTAGAGATGAAGGCAACCTGGCAAGCATTCCCATTCCAAACATTTTATCTAATTTGTGAGGCCCCTCATTCCCATGTCTCCATAGTGCAAACCCTAAGGCATGCTACCATTTGTGAACCCTCTTTATATGGCTAAAATTAATCCCATAAGTATCCCTTCTTTAGTTGGATGCCCTTTATCTAGTAACTTACCATAGGGCACACAAGCACAATTATTCTAATTCCACCAAAGAATTAATAACATGAACTTTGATCATGACCCGCAAATTATACTATTTCACATGTTCACTCCAACATGCATAATGGTAGGCAAATTCTTTTAAGTGTTAATACTATAGTAGTATGAAACTTATATGCAATTAATATCTCAATTTATTCACTAACATAGTCTCGTTAAATCAATACAATTAGGTCAGATTTTATTATTAATTTTTTTTAATTCTTATATATATATATATATATATATATATATATATATATATATATATATATATATATATATATATATATATATATATATACACCATATATTCTCTCTACACTTTTATACATTTTCCAAATACATAATAATTTTATTATCTCTCCTATCTTTCATCAATAATATATCATAAAAATAATTAGAGATGACACCAAAAACAATTTCTAAAAAGGGAAATTTTCTTTTTATATATTATAAAAAAAAAATCAACATGTTATTTATTTAAGTTATACCAGACTCGTCGTCTCTATAAATAAAATCTCTGATTTCAAATTTTGTAGATAAAATAAATTTAGAAAGGGGATTCTATTCATATTTTATGTTAAAAATTAATCATCTAATAATATTAAAAATATATTAACATTGATTTTTTAAAATATTTGATACGAGTGGGGTAACTATATAGATCGAAGAGAAATTAAAATAATGATGAAAGTTAAGGTAAAGTCTAGTAGAAGATAACTATTATTATCTTAAATATTGAAAGGATCTGAAATTGTGGAGGTGACATTAAATTAGGGTTCACATAATGGGTTAAAACACTTGCACCATACTCTTGTGAATTCAATATATAATATATAGTGTTTTTTTTTCTTTGGAATTTGGAATTTAAAATATAAATCAAATTAGACTGTGAATTTTATTTTATTTTTTGCTCTGTAATTTTATGTTAAACTGGTTATTCACATTAACAAAAAACGGTTATTAACATTTTTTGCTCTTGTGATTTTTTTTATATATATAGAAACATTTATATTTAAATATGTTTATGGTTTCTTCATATAAAAAATAGTTAGATCTAAATATATTTATGGTTCTGTATATAGAAGGAGTATTTTGTGTTAATTGAATTTTTATAATTTTTATATAAAAATAATTAGACATTTATGTGAGTGTTTTAGGAAATACATAATTAAGTTTGTATTTTTTTTATCATGTCATCAACTTTGTTAAACTATTATAAAATATGATTAAGATATTCTTTATATATAAATGTTCAAAATTAAACAAATTTAAAATAACTAAAAATCAATTGAAAATCTATTATTTATTTTTTAATTTTATGTATTTTTTTTAGAACCAAACCGTTTGATTTGAATAGGATAGTTAGTTATTAAAATAAAATGAATGGTTAAGAAAAATATATTAAAAAAACTTATGCAATCAGATGGATGAAATTTATTTTTTAGGTATTTAAAATCAAAATCTAATATTTGAACCAAATTGATCAAATTTCATTTTCTTAATCCTATTGATATCACAAATCGAATCAATCCAATTTTTTTAATTGATTCAAATTCATCAGGTTATCAAAATGAATCAATGATGTAATCACGTCTTGGAGAAAGCAAAAATATAAAAGGTATAATTGTATACGTACACATTAGTAGTGAATAAAAAATGGGTATAGATATATTTTTTCACACTTTACTCCACAAAATACAGCATACAAAACTTTGATTGTAGCATTCATTTTATGAAACATAAGATGAAGATGATCGGTGACCAAAATAGTAATCTTCTAAGAAGGAAACATCACTGCACACTGCAATCCATGGATGGTTGTACAAGATTTTAGCATTCTGAAAGCCATAACCATCAATAATTGGTAATGGGAATCCTCTCTTTAATTTGAAATTCAGGTATGGAAGAACAACAGTTTTGAGGAGACTTGACACTAATGACTGCAAAGGTTTACAAAACTTGAAGAGTAAGATTAATTTGTAGTTTGAAGAATAGACAATGATTTAGGTTTTAGCGACCAATTTTATGAAACTAGAAACTAAAAAATGTAAAATTACAAAAATACTAAAGGGTTGAATTGTTAGCCTAGAATACTCTCCAAACTAGCTGGAATCATTTGGTCATGCTTTTGCGTTGCAGACAACTTTGTGTTCTAGGATACATCACCTAGTGAGTGGGTCAACAAATGAATCATCCACTCTCATATCATTATATCATTATTGAAAGAGTAATAATCGGAATAGATTTATAATAAGATCACGAGTCAATCATTTAAGAGTATATGTCACTGTTTTCTACCTAAATTGTTTGTGTTATGCATCATTCTTGAACTTTAACCCTAAAATAAAAAAACACAGATTTCTGCAAGCTGAAAATATGATTACTTTAGTACGATTACCTGAATCAGATGAATGTGCAGTTTCCCTATTTTGCTCCATTTCAAGTATGCCGAAAATTCTTGTAGTGTGAGTCTACCAATAATATCATTTCCTACAACTTCTACAGCATATGAAGCACTAATTTCCTGTAACATAAGCAAGAAAAATAGAACTTTGTTAGATAAGAAAAATGTCTAAGGATCATGTCCACACTCTTAACTGATAAATGAGATCACGGACATGCTTAGTCACTGTGAAATTAATGTAAATTGGTTTTGTACGTGGCAGAAATATGAGAAAATAGACTGAAAAGTTTGTATGCTTCATAGCTTGATCTCTATGTTGAAAACAAGTGCATTATGATCTTTAGCTCCTTGAAAGATTGCTAGCTTTTGGAATTTTTAACTATCAAATTAAACAGAATAGGTTCCTTTGCTTTTGGACATTATATAGTATACCACTGAGATGCATGCAACAGGTATGACTTCAAAATCTTCCAGAACATCGATTGTTATATCTACTAAAATAGTTGCACCAATATCTTGGTATGTCACTTGTATAACTGGTGGAGAAGATACAGAGATATTAATCTGCATATCATCATTCGGATATCGCTTGTATAATTGGGGAACTATGAATCTCCATTCAGCAGTGTTCAATATGGCCTGATTAGGTAGTTTATCAACAATCAATTGCATTTTACCAGCCTGAGCACAGAAACAACATAAACTGTTCAACTACATTTCAGTCTATAATAAAGTAAACACATCAAACTTCAATGCATGATGAAGTGTGAACAGTTAATTGAATCCATTCGATAGAATCGGCAATATTACTTTACCTTAGAAAATGAATAAATGATTCAATTCGTAGCAGTCTAAGGTCTATTTGAGCTCAAACAATATCCTTCTGTCTCAAATTCAGTGAGAGTCCAACAATATTAGTGTTTCCAATCTTCATTAAAAGGCAAAGCACACCACTATTATGCAAATCTAAATGATGTAAACTGTAGAAAGACTTCAATTTAATGTTTTTGCACATAGATTAAGAACAACAATGAATATATCACTAATTGAAACAGTTTTACTAAAATAATCTCCCTCTCTCAATAAATGCACTACTTTTATTTACTGTAAATGTAATTTATTTAGAGACAAATTGGGAATAAAAAAAATTCATATCTCATTGACAACTAAGAACATAGTTAATTTGGAATTTCTTTTAAAAGGCTAAAACTGCAATTAATTATCAAGTTGTCTCTTCTACAACTTTGTATGATGTCAGAGGCTATACAGAAAAAAATTTATCAACATATACTCTAGCATAAATCCTATGCAACAGATTATAAGAAGATATTGTAGAGTATACACCACAGATAGAGCTTAAAATAAGCAGATCAGGAGATGGGGGACTGTGATTGGACTAAGGCTTGCAAAGTAAGAAATCAACATTTCAGAAGCTTACATTGTAGTAAACTTGGGAAGCAGATTTGAACACATTTTCATGTATTGATACTTTTATCATCTTTGGTAAACCACCACAGGCAGCAGAAATCTTCAATTCTTTCTGGTGGTAATCTTGAGGTTCTAAAACTTCACTTTTCCCTGTGAATAAACCACTAATTGCAACTGCAATGGAGGAACTGCTCAACACAGGATTGCCAACAAAAGAAACATTTAGTGTAGCAGTTTGGTCTAGTGAGATCTGCTTTGGAAGAGATGCCAAAAAATTGTCAAGCTTCGCTATCCCTTCTTTTATTTTCTCTGAAATGCCTTCTTCAACGGCAGAGGCTATATTCCCTTCAAAAGCATCTACTAGCCTGAAGCAAACATAAAGAAGTTGCCACTGTGTTCATGATATCTTCATTTAAGTATATAGAACCATAATGTTAGCCAAGTTCATGATAGCATTGAAGTATATAGGACCATAATGAGTCTTTATGCGTAAAATAAAAACATCAAATAGAAAAATGAACTGGATATTAGATTTCAGTTAAGAACCATCTTATTTGTGTCTTGTGAAATCAAGGACAGATCAGTCTCCCTAAGAAGTCAAACTACTTCACCAAGAAAAGAGGCAATAAAGTGGAATTCATGCACTTTATCCCTAATCCAAGTTCACCACATTCAAATTGATTCTAAATGGATGAAAGCAAAGAATCATGTAAATGCAATCAACTAACTTCGCCAACATATGCATCTTCAGTAGTAAAGAAAAAGACTATTATGCCTCGTTTTGGTATAAGTTCACATACTCTATATAACTTTGACTTGCATTCCAAGAAAAAAACTGTTGCAGAGTTAATAGAAGCAGCTCTTTTCTGTTCTCTTTCTTTCAAGTCACACTTGACCAAAGAACAAAGAAGGAGAGAATAGAATTGAAACATGGCTCTGTAACTCTGTTATAGTAGTTTCTTACCAAATGCTCACCATGCGAATGTAAAAACACCAATAAGCAAAGAATTGTTCTCAACAAAAGAATATGTGAATAGTGTCCACTTTTCATAAACATGGATCAAGAAGATCGCTTACAGTTGGTAAAGCCAAGATGCACCTCCGTCCAATTTTATAGACAAGTCTCCCACATGACATCCATAATCTAAGAGAGACAACTTAAGAGTTCCTTCTTGGTTCCTTAAATTTACTGTAAGCCCCACTTGCATACCTGTAACCTTCAAACATAGTACAACACAACCACATGAAAGCATATTATTCATGGAACATGTGTGTATGTTTTTCTAGGCACTCAGTCATATTTTCATAGACTTTTGCCAATCAGATACTAAAATTGAAATACATTTGTTCAATTGTTCATCTATAACAGCATCTTTTTCCTGTTTTTACAGTGGGAAAAAAACTTGTGTGATTATTCAATATAAGATATTGTTAACTAAGTTTATTTTGATAAGCATTAATGTGAAGCTTGTTAATAATGAGTTAAAAAGAGTTAATAAGGTCATAAGCCACTTTATAAACTTGACCAAAAGCTTAGAGACCGTTTGGTTTACGAGAATGTACTCTATTTTGTCTATACAGACATTCAGAAAAAGGAAACAAATTTTGTAATTAAAAATAAAAACAATCTGTGAAGCTCTTCCAAATTACCTATGACCACGAGTTCTATATTAATAAAACATTACTTTTAAATGTTTATGATTTTCGATTTAGCTACAAACTTTACAAAGATCGAAGAAGTAATTATAGATTTTCTTCCTTATTCCTTTTGCAATCTTATAATCAACCCTACTTACATGAACAAGATAACGAAGTTTGAAAGTTAAGTTTTGCACAGTGCACAAAAATCAAAACTCTTTAATCATTCCTATGAACTATATTCTAATGGTTTGGAATCCACTTGTTATATATAAGAACCAGCTAAGAGATACTGGCACTAATTTGATTTAATTCCAGTTGCAAGACGATGCTAAAGGTCGTCTCAACGTTTTCTCAACCAATAGTGATAAAATAATTAACTACAGGAAAATATTTATCATTTGTTTCACATAGTCAAATCTTCTGAAACTTGAATTCAACCATCTAAAGAATTCAACAAAAAATCTACAACTGCAACCATGGAAAAATATCAAAGGGGACAGTAAAAAAGGAATAAACACGAGTGAGATTGTAGTTATGTACCTTCACTATAGCAGTTCCTTTATCCGAAATTCCAATTGGAATTAACCAAGAGCTGACAGTGTACCTCCATCTCATACTCAAATTAACAATGGCACCTGAAATAACAATAACAATTCCATTCTCTCCAGTCTTAACAGATGAAGAATTGACTTGAACATCGTTAATTGTGATGTCAGAAAGAACCACTTTAGCATTCCCAACAAGAGGAACTTGGGCAGAATTCTCAATCTTTGGCAGCTGAAGCATAACAATGGAAGCAATACCCTTCTCTATCAGCAACTCCTTGGCATATTCCAGACCCTTGTCAGATATGACCCCAGAGATTAAACCCTCTTCAAGGGGTTGCACATAACCACATGTTGGAACCAACAGAAGGGACAACAGAGAGAAAAGAATAGAGGGTGCCATGAATTTTTTGACAGAACCTTATGAGAGGGATAAAGTTAGCAGTAGCAGCAACTTTACAATACCATAGAAAATTTGCTTTGGTAAGAGCATGATAGTTTTATGATGTTTATGATGTTCATGATGTTAAAGATGAAAAATTTGAGACACCCATGTGTTGAAACAGCAGGGTTAAGAAAGGTTTTCTCAACATGGTAGTTGTGCGGAAACTTTTATCAGAATAGTTTGTCGAAATCAAGGACTGGCAACTCTGAAAGGAGACGTATGAAGCAGGAAGTGGTTGGTATGTATGTGTGTTGTTGTTGTTGAGTTAGAATTACAATGTTGTTGACCAATTATTACTATATGAGCTTTTAGTATATTCATACACCTGAAAACGCATGACTCACATTCTGAGCAGCACTTTTGTTTGCGTGTGGCACTAAACAGCTTAATCAGATTCACTTGGAATGCTAATTTTTCCTTTCTTTCACGTCTCATTTTTAAGAGTCATTAGTCAATCGTATTGTTCAAGAATTTTATTAGAATATATATTTTTTTAGTTGTTCAAGTTATTTTCTTATTATCTAAATTACTAACAATTCCTAGAATTTACAAACTTTAAAAAGTAAGTCCTCGAACAGTAATTGACACTCATTTCAGTTCAAAATTATATGTAATATTATGTAACTTAAGCAGCAATAATTTAATTAGTTTTTTTTTCATTATAAAATTTAACTTTACAAATTTAAATGACAACAAATCACATGTTTTAGAAATTAATGACATAGGAATATGGGTATGCATTTTATGATCTTAAGTTATAAAATTAATATAGAAATAATAAGACGGGTAGTGTGACCTAGGTCTACTTATATCTGTCATTCAAAATTATCTATTTCAATGAACCATTTTTCTAAAACAATACATTAAATCATTAAATATGAATTTTTTTATATTATATTCAACATACAATTTATTTTTTCTAAAAACATACTTAAAGGGAAGAATGTTTTATAAATATTAATTAGTTAATTAATGTTACTAACGGATGATTAATTTAAATATAATTAATATTAAAACTTAATTTATAAATAATTATAATTATATTATTCACTAATATAACTCAAAAAATATAACTAATAAATTATAGTTTTTATTTATTTTTATTTTAATATTATATATATAACATACAAATATAAAATATAAACAAGCTGGCAGCTCTATTCCGACTCAATTTAAAATCTTTTAATTTATTTTGTTTTGTTTTAAAGTGAGTATTTTCGAATATAAAAGATATATGTTAAAATATTGATTTTTTAAATGAAAATAAGAATCTTAAAATGTTGGACCCAAATTTTTGTTAGATTTACTATATATTGTCATTCATAAACATATTTATTAGATAACCTTATTTATTAATATTATATTTATAAAATAATTTAATTAAAATAAAATTAATTAAAAGTTATTATTTTATTAATAAATTAGGTTATTAATCGGTTGTTTGATAAAATAAAATAAAATACTTTTTTTTACTAAGTTAAAATAACAAGTGGAGAATGAAGAAGAAAAATAATGATCGTTATCTAAAACACAGCTCTTATAAAAATATAATATTATTCACTCATAACAATAAACTATATATACGTAACTGTTATTTTCTTCCTCTTTATCTTGACATTGAATATTTATTCTCCAAGAGTATACTCATCAAATTGTGGCCATAAGGATAATTATTGAGTCCACACTTGTGGATTTATGACTTGTCTTGGACTACAAGAGAGACCAAAATATAAAATTAGAAAATAACAAGAAAAAAATATTAAAATGACAAAAATAAATACAACGAAACTTAAAAAAAAAATTGTATTATAGTGACTAAACAATAATTATTGTAATAAGAAGGAATGAAAATTAAAGATTTATTTATATTTGATTTTTTTAATTACATAACTTAGTGAAATATACTTCGAAGAATAGAAAAATATTTTAAATTAAGGAAGAAAATTGAGAATATTACTTTTTAAAATATGTATTCTAATTAAAAAGGATTGAATTATATAAGTTTTTATTAGTAGTTTAGGAAGAATAGAAAAAATGGTTTGTTGTTTAATAATCAGAAAATAGTTTTTAGAAAAAAGTGAGCAAGTAGGAGAATGTTTAGAAGAGAAGATAGGAATTCATCTTGAAAGTACTACAAAATATGGAGGAGCTTGTATTAGTTATTTTACATAAGTGACACTGTTTGATCCAACACCTCCTAAGTAGTCTGCAATATTCTAGATAATTTTAGATTTTCTTAACTCATTATCTATCTTTTAGATTCAAACATTTTTAGAATATTTTAATAATTTTAGATATAACTCATATGAAGTTTCTAATTTAGTAGTATTTAGGACTTTATTTTCTAGATCTTTCTAGAATTTGTTTCACCTCTCAACATTCCTCCTTGATACAAATTCTAGTAACTCTAAGAACTTGTCACTTAGTATTACCTCAATAAATATGTATTGTTTTAGTCGATTCCATATTATTGTGAATATCTCTTTATTACTAGCCTAACTTGGTGCCATTAGGATTGAGTTTTGTTTTATAAACCCATTTTACTCTAATTACTTCTTTTCCATGTGGGCAATATACTAGTTTTCAAGTATTGTTCTTTTCAATCATTTTAATTTCTTCCTCTGTTGTCTTGATCCAGAATTCTTTCTTTATAGCCTCTTCATAGCATTCAAGCTCAAACAATGACATGTTGCATGTTTCATATATATCCACCAAGGATCTTACTCTCCTAGGAGTAGACTCAGGTGAAAAATCTTATTGTTATATAGATAAAGGAAACGTATTTGGATCTTCTGCTACTTCTTGAACTTCTTCTTCAAATTGTTGTATTGAAAGGAAGATGTTGTTTTTCATGATTCTTCCTTCTTCCTAATTCAAAGAAGCATTTTCATCAACTTCAACATCTTAACTAATGGTGAGCTTCTTTGTCTGCAAGTTATAGACTCTATAGCCTTTTGTTTGTGTGTTATATCCCAGGAAGATTTCTCGTATAGTCATGTTTTCTAATTTGTGCATTTTCTAATCTAACACATATATGTAGTAGATAGATCTAAAAACTCTTAAGGGTTTAGCTGATGGTTTTTGCCCACTCCAAGCTTCAATTGGAATCTTGTCTTGGACTGCCTTAGTTGGACATTGGATGGGTATATACACGTTAGTAAATTGCTTCTGCCCAAAACGTATTCGGCAAGTCTTTCTCTTTCAACATTGATCTTGTCATCTCCTTCACTATGTAATTTTTCCTTTCTGATACACCATTTTGTTATGGTGTATATGCAACTGTAAGTTTTCTTTCTATTCCTTCATCTTCACATAATTTATCAAATGCATGTGAGTTATATTCTTTACCTTGATAATTTCTTAGACATTTTATATACCTTCCACTTTGTTTATCGATGAGAACTTTAAACTTCTTGAATATTCCAAATACTTCTGATTTTTCTTTGTTGAAGTAAACCTAGGTCATGATGGAAAAATCATCGATGAAAAGGATAAAGTACCTGTTGTTGTTTAGTGATGATGTTCTCATCGGTCAACATATGTCTTAATGGATTAATTCCAATAAATCTTTTGCTCTCCATGATTTGCCAGTTGAAAATGGTAATCTATGTTGTTTCTCGAGAAGATATCCTTCACAAGCTTCATTATTCTCTTTCATGTATGAGAAACCTCTCATCATATTCTTCTGATGTAATAGCTTCAAAGACTGGGTGTTAAAGTGTCCAAAACTTCTATGCTAAAGCCATGAATCATCAACTTGAACTTTCATGGAAATATTAGTAGTATATTTGAAGCTTACAAGAAAACTTTTATTTCTTTTCTCCATTTTTACTTCTCCTATCTCTCGCCTTTTATTGTCATAGATTTTGCATGTATCTCCTTTGAAGTGAAGAGCATAGCCTTTCTCCATTATTTTGTCAATGCTCAAGATATTTTCTTTAAGATTGGGAACGAGCAAGACATCTTTAATAAGTCTCGTACCTTTCATAGTCTCCACTACAATAGTGCCTCTTTCTTTTGACTTTACTAGCATGTCATTTCTCAATTTTACTTTCACTTTGACATAGTTATCAATGTTCCTGAAGATGTTTCCGTCTTTGGCCACGTGATTACTGCATCTGCTACCCAAGCACCAACTTCCGCTTGTTTCATCATTGAAGTCTCGGGTAACCTAGAAAAGATGTTGCTGAAGGTCATATTATTCAGCAAAATTTTCTTGATGTTTTTTTTATGCGACATTTTTTCTCCACATGTCCAAACTTTTTGCAATGTTGACAGTGAGATTTTCCATGATGCCAACAATCTTTCTTCAGGTGACTTGACTTTTTGTAGATGCCACAAGGAGAAAATTTTTCTTGACTAGACTTGGAGAAATTTCTAGAGTTTTCTTTATTTTTAGAAATTTTTTTAATTTTCTTTCCTCCAATTTCTTTATTTTGAGACCGTAATTTGAACTTTGGTTGAAAGAATTTTTCAACTGAGTCTTCATTATACCTTTTCAATCTATATGTTTGAAGAGACCCTAATAATTTTGTTACCGATAAGGTAGACAGATCCTTGATTTGTTCAATTGTTGTCACAATTGCATCATATTTGTGGGGAATAGAAATTAGAATTTTCTCATCAGTTTTCTTGTGCAAAATATTTTCCCTACATGCTCTCATTTGACTAACTATTTCTTTTATTATAGGATAATAATCTATAATGGTCTCAAACTCATTCATACTCAATAATTCAAACTCACGTATTAGAATTTGAAGTTTAATGATGTCTACCTATACACTTCCTTGAAACTCTTTTGTAGTGTGTTTCATGCCTCTTTGACACTTGTAGCATCCATTATTCTTGGAAAAATTTGCATCAACCATAACTTATTGTAAAAAGTATAACGTTCTTGAGCCTTTTTGCTTGCTCTCTTTTAACTCATTCTTTTGAGTCGCGGTTAATGTAGAAATGTATGTAGGAGTAATAAAACCAACTTCTACAATCTCCCACAAATCTTGAAAGAAAAAAAAAACACACAGTCTTCATTTTAATGTTCCAAAAGTCATAATTTTCTCCCGTGACGATAGGTAAAGGGATAGATGAAGAAGGATTGACATTAATCATTAGTTAGAATTGATATGAAATATAATAAGATTTTTTAAAGGTAGTTGGATTGTATCTACACCCATAGATGATTGAATGTAGCTCTTATATTATTGTTAGTATTTTAGGAAGAATAAGAAAGATGATTTGTTGTTTAATAGTAAGATTTATGTAAAAGATAGTTTTTAGAAAGAGGAGAACAAAAAAGAGAAGGTTTGTTGAGAGAAAATAACAATTGATTTTGGAAGTGCTACAGAATATGAAGAAACTTGTATTAGTTTTTTTTTTACACAATTATTACACAAGTGATGTTGTCTATTTATAAGCTTATCCACCACTTCCTAATTAGTCTATAGTATTCTAGATAATTCTAGATTTTCTTAACTTTAAAATTATTTATCTTCTACTTTTAAACATTTCAAGAATATTCTAATAATTTTAAGAAAGTATAGAATTATCTATTTTTACTTTTAAACATCTCTAGAATATTATAATAATTTTAGATATTATTGATGTGAAATTTTTAATTTTAACAATATCTAGCACTTTATTTTTCAGATCTTTCTAAAATTTACGTTATCTTTCAATAATTTTAAATAAATTATATTTTCTTTTATATTAGAGTGGTTTTGAAGTTGGAGGGTGTTAATAAATACAAAACAAAATTTCAAGATACAACTCTTTAAATGTACAAATATATAAAATATATATATTGAAAGAATATACAAACAATTATGTATTTAATTAATAGAGTTAAAACTCGTTTATTATTTGAGTGAAAAAAATATTCAACTCTAAACGTACGTTTGAATCAAACACAAAAATGTGACAACTGTAGATTTACAAAAATAAATAAAAAAAGTTAATTTTTCGAGGCAAAAAATTTGTAATTCTCAACAAAAAAATCTTCTTCAAGTTGATCAGGAGAATGTAGCGGAAAATCCACATATATAAATATAAATAATAATTATTATTTTAATAATAAAAATTAAAATAATTATTATATCAATAATTAAAATAAAAATAAATAAAATAATTATAATATTTTAAATTATATTAATAATAATAATTTTTATTTAATTATAATTTAATTATTTTTAATTTTTTATTAAAATAATATTTTTTATCATTTATATCAATCAATTCATTTACAAATTTTTATAAATTTTCTTCAAATTTATTACCATCTTTTCTTTAATTTAAACACATCCTCCTTCCACCTAATCAATTCTTTTTCACTCCATTTCAAAGACAAATCTATCTTCTAATACAAAGACACAACGTGATACCCCTGAACTCTTTAACCACGGTCTCATGGTAAACTATTTTTTATTTATTTATCTGTTTTCCTTTTAATCATTAATTTTCTCTATTTTGTTTATTTTAAAGTAGCCTATTATTTTACTTTCACACAAAAAAAAAGTTACAAAATATTATTTTTTATCACTTTCTCGAAAAGTTATATGTTAGGGAAAAGATTAAATAATATATAAATATATATACGCATAATAAAAATAGTATTTGTGAAGTCAATAATTTTATTATTAATATCAAGCCGGATTAAAATGACACGAAATAAAATTTGAATTATTCTTAAAATGCATCAAGATTAATTTTCAACCTAATTTAATCAAAATTAAATTCTAGTGAGGATTGTTTAATGACATGTAATTGATTATGAGTAACCCTATTCCACATATTGAACCAATGGAATTTAAAATGTTATACTTTTTGTACAAATTGAATAAACTATACTCAAAAGGTTAATAAAACGTAAATAAACAGTTCTTTATATATTTCCTTAATCATTAATTAGAACCTAATCATAACTTCGTTTAGATGAAGGATCTCAGCATTCTATTTCCATCAGAGATTGGTAACCAAAAAGGAAGAAAATGTCAGCTTCTGGTATATAACAACAAAGGAAGATGTAAACCGATGCAGATGAAGCATTTGATGAATTCGAAAGGCAATGACATAATTCTATCTCTACCCAGGCACGCAAATGCTCAAAATTGGCTATAAGACAAGTCATTAATGTAAGTCACTTTCAATATAATGATTTTTACAAGAGAAGCACTCAGACATCAACACTTGAAAACTGAGAATTACAAAGCAAAGCCTTTCTACAACTTAGTAAATTCCATGTCATTGACAAAACACCGAGTAAAAAAACATAGAAACACGTTGCCATGTTTCAATTCACACATTCAGAAACATAAAAACCGAGTGAGAAAGTTCACGAGTTGGCTACTTTTATCTTTACAAATATTTGACCAACAGCCATATGACAACAATCAAAACCACTATACCAATGACTGATAAAAGCATGCACAAGCAGGAGCAACCACCCTTGGTACGTTTGTTCAAAACTGCTAAGTTCTTTTGCACTCGCTGTTTTTACATCAAAAAATCAAAAGGTCAGTTGCAAGTTACTTCACTTCTACAATATCTCAAAAATCAAGTTAAAACAAGAGGGAAATTTAACAATTTATTGCTTTTATAAACAAGGTACCAGAAGTAGGTATATTAACAAATGTAATATCATTAATTTAGCTTCATATAGTTTTGCTTTATATGCCGTGTCAAACATAAATTAGAAACTTTCAAATTAAAATGTTCACAGGAATATGTTTGCAGAAAATTCACTAAATATTTTTATACAAAAAAATTGTCTCCAGAAACGAACATAACATTATGAGCAGAAATCCTCACAGGTCCATAATTGACAAAGCGTATAATGATGAAAGTAATTTCATCCCAAATAAGTATAATTTTATAGCTAAACCACTGCCACAAAAAAGACTGACCACATACTGTGTGTATGTGTGTTTGAAAGGTTAAATTGATTCACTTTCAAAACCTTAATTTAAAGATAATATACCTATAAAAATTAAAAAATTTATTAACTGAAAAATATAAGAAACATAATTGAAGAGGACTTCACATGAAGCACCAAATTGAGCATATTGTAAATCCATCTAATAAATATCACTTTCTTCCGCTTAAAAATGAAAGTTAATCCTAATATTCAAGTTATAGTGAGAATGTTACCCTCAGCCGAGAATCTGTTACATCTACATGTTCGTCTAAGTCATCCTAGCAAAAGAAGAGAAAAATGATTACATTTCAGAAATGTAAAAGGAGCAAAAATAACAAATGAATGGACCATACAATGAGCCTGGTGTGTAGATCCAGCTCTTCATTCACTGCCAACGCAATATGTTTAGTACTGATTACAGTCTCCTCCAATTTCTCAAGGCCATCGTCTTGTTCTGCTTGAATATCACATATCCAAATCAAGATCCAGAAAGCAGACTACAAGTAAATTTCTTAATTTCAAACAATTTAAAGTGACCTTTCATAATTTGCCGTTGAAGACCAACTAGACCACTGTTGTCCAGGCCAACAGTTCTGCTCATTGCATCTGACTTTATTTCTGGCCCAAGCAAGCTATCCCTATTTGCAAAGTTTGACATGTTCAATGTTGAGGCCATTTGGTTAACTTTTGTCCTCAAATTTGAAAGCGTGTCCTTGCGACGATTCATCTCCTTCTCAGTTCTGTGCATTATTGACAAGGAAACATTTCAATAACAAGCATGCAACTGAATATGAAAGAGATAGTCCAGATCAGGAGGTTTCAAAACATTTAATTCAAAATGAAGAGTGTTAAAAAACTGCAAGCCATAGTATTCCAGGCCTCGGTGCTTGGCTGTAATAGGGTAGGAAACTTTTGCTTAATTAGCGCAGGAAACAACTAAACACTCACTTTGCAGGGACCTTTGACAAAAGAGATTGCAAACTATCAAGCCTGGTCCCTAATATCGTGATCTTCCTTCTTATAGCAGATGCATGCCGCTGGGTTTCTGGTCCAGATGCAGGCAACGAACTATGTTCAGAAATCATGCCAGTGATATCATCAGCAAGTTTTACAGCTTCATTATATTCCTTCATCCATGAGTCTGAAGAAGATGCCATTTGCCTGGAAATAAGATGCAAAGGGAAGAAATCCTTTTATAGAAGAAATAATCCATACAACTTCTATTTAATAGATTTTATATTGAATGATTACATACATAATACAATATATAATTTGTAAAATCCATAATATAATAAGTTGAGAAATCTTCAAGTAGTGTCCTCGATAGATAGTTTTCCAGTCTACGTGATTAACATGAGATAAATTTTACCTGGTTAGAGAAATTCATAATACACATTCATGTAAGTAGCTATGGCACAATCGAGTCCCACTTATGATAATTTAACATGCCACTTCTTAACACCTACTCTGGTGCCTCAAAACAAATGATAATTTAATATTCCACATCTTACTATTTACTCTGGTGCCTCGAAACAAGTATACAATAGTGCAATAAAGATACTCGAAAATATGTCTGAGCTTATCATAAAACCAATATTGAGCCACCATCAACTGTCCAAACCAAAATATCTGGTCCGTCAAATGCCAAGTGCAATATAAAAAGAAAAACAGTCCTAGAATCTCCATGCGAGTCTTCCACTTTCCTAGTGCAATATAAAAAGAAAATCAGTCCAATAATCGAATTCAGAGTGAGAGGATGTCTTGAGATCTCACATCAACTACATATTTTGCTAAACTGAAACTTATAAAGGCTTGGGCAATCCTAATCTCATGTGATAGCTTTTGAGGTAGCCTCTTAGCCCAAATTCAAGACGCATAGAGCTCATCATAGATCTGGTATTGGGTCATATATATATATATATATATATGAGAGAGAGAGAGAGGAGAGATAAAGTTACTCCTGATTCTAACCTTTTTTCTTTTTGTTTTTTTTAATAATCTGATAGTTCTAATAAATAACTCACACTTAACTGTTAGCTTAAGGGAAAATGAAGATGAAAATTATTAACTCTCTTAGACTTACTCTTAATTAATTTGATCCCTCTTTTATATATCAGTCCTACAATCTCCACACTCCAAATGTCCAATCCTGGGTGTGACGGGGCGTTCAAATCTCACATCCAACATTGATATGACTAAATTAAAATTTAATTAAACTTATAAAGGCGTAGCAATCCTAACCTCACATAAACCCCCCAAAATTCATAAAACCCCATCAGCAACTGCTATCTCCAACCGTTAACTACCAACCATTGAACCATGCCAACACCAGCATCTACAAAATTCTTACCCAAAAATGAATCTTCAACAAAATCTCGACCTCTCATCCTAGCACACCAGACTGATTACTTCAACAACATACTCCTCTATATAAAATTCCAAACCTGTATCATAATTTCCGCGAACCACAACATGGAATAAAGGCATAGCACAACGGTGTCCTTTTAAACTCACCATCATGATCACAAAGGTAAAGCAATGGAGAAGTACAAAATCGCCACCGATCATGCGATATATCCAGAAAATCAATTACAAAACATGATATCGAAATCAGATACAAAATACAGAATTATCGAAAAAAACAACCACAGAAAGAAAACATCAAAACCAGGCAACCAAAACGCGCAATTTCGAAGACCTAGAGCTCAACCAGCAACAACTCCAGTCCAAATGGAAAAATCGAAAACAACGCGAACGAAAAACGAAAAAATAAATATCGCAAATGATAATTGAATTGAATCAAATCGAATCTTACGCGATAATAATTGTGGAGGAAGCGACTTTTTCTCTTCTGAATTAGGGTTTGAGAATGAAGAGAAAGGAGGGGCTTAGATTTGATGAGAATGATGGATACGACGAGGTGCGTTAGATCGGCGTAATGGCGGCACCACCAACCGGTACCGTTTGTCTGAACCGGTCGTCGTTAAAGGTGCGTGAGGACGGAAAGCGTCTGTTGCAGAGCGCAGCGTCGTTTATGGTGTCCCTTGGGAACTACAATTTGTTATTCATTGATAAACAGTTGGAAAGGAAGAGTTGAATTTACGAGTTTTATAACGCGTAACACTTTGTTTGTTAATTAATCCTTATTCTACCATCATCGTAAAAAAAGAAAAAAGAAAAAAAAACTATTTCTTATTTAACTTAATCACTTCTGACTACTTTATATAATAATAATTATTATAATAAGAATTAGGAAATTTCTTTTCTGCGTATAAATATTTTATATTTAAATACAATATAAATTAAATGATGTTTTAGATTATTACTAATTGATAATTTTTAAATAAAAAATAATTATATAATAGAAAAAATATAGATAATATAAGAAAAGTTACCTAATCCCAATCTCTTTATTGATAACGTAGATAATTACATGTCTTATTTATTTTATGAACCAAAAATTAAATATACTTAATCTTTGTTCTTCTTTTATTCATTAAATAATAATTAAAGAAACCAACCATGAACAATGTTAAATATACCATTCTCCACTTAAAAAAAAAAATTTATTACGAAGATGAAAACACTTCATATGCCTACAAAATAAAAGATTAAATCAACCCAGTTTATATGCAAAGCCTTTGTAAATGTTAAAGAAAATACGAATAAAATTTAATTCTTGAACTGTATATAATGATTGTTTCTTAAGTATTTATATGTGGCAGTGTTGTATAAGTCTTTTAAAATAAAATAAAAATTTCTCAGATTTTCTTAAAAACTTAGAATTAGCAATAAATTTTTTAAGAGTAATATTCAGGATATAAGAGAAGAAAAAAAGAGAACAAATGAGTTGAAAGTGAGAGATGTGTGTTTGATGATTTCAGAATGGAGTAGAAACATCAATTTATATGTGTAGATGGATTCACAAAACTCAAACTCCCACGCCAAATATTGAGAAAGAATTGTGGATATCCCAAGATATGTGGAGGGAGATGTATGGTAGTTTCTGTGGATCAAGGAGGAATAAAAGCGACGGGAAGTTCTAGATTTACAGTAGTTGGGACCAACATTTGCAAAAGAAGAATAGTGCAGTTCATAGGTCTCGCATTAGATTTTGCAATAATCTTCATCTATAACAATCTCCACATATTGCAAAATCAAAAGAGAGATAAAAAAATAAAAGAAGAAAATCATGGGTCTCATATAAGATGTAATGCATCAAAGCTAGTACAACAAACTATATGAACCTGTCATCGATTAAAAACTTAAAACGCAGTGTAGTTGGTATAACAAACTATATGAACCAAAACACTTAATATGTGTTTAAAAATCAAAATACACCCTATAATTCTTATTGTTATCGTTGTATTGCACTTACTAGGTCATCGTGTGTTTGGTATTCATGAGTACTTTAGAAATCTTGTCAAGATTTCATATAAGTGACTCCACTCAATACTCATATAGGTGATTTCATCAAGTGTATGCTGCAAATCATACACCACCTATAAGAGATATAAAAATCATTAAAAACTTTGTTCAGACTAAAATTCTTACATCACATAGAATTTTAATTACAAAGTTTAACATCTCGATAATACAGTATCTAACACTTTCACACACCATAGAAATTGACATAATTGATTTTAAACAATTTTAGTGTTAGCATAACTAACAAGTGACTTGTTTTTACCCATATGGACCTTATTTATGGGATATCTAATCACAAAGATTAGGTTATCATCACTTGTTTATTTGCAAATGGCTTGAGTCTCATTCTCCTCAATATTTCTAAAATTATGTTTCTCACTAAGGGTTTCGTGAGAGGATCTGCTAGATTCTGTTCGACTTTACATAGTCAATTGAAATTGTTCCACTCTTTAGCATCTACTTCACCAAATTGTGTCTCAATTATATATGGTTGTTCTTTCCATTATAATTCTTATTTTTAGCTATAGCTATTTTCGATTGACAATCACAATGTATTGATATAGACGGGGTTAGTCTCATTCATAACAAAATGTTTGTTAAGAAGTTTATACCACTCATCTTCACTACTAGCCATTTCAAGATCAATAAACTCTAATTTCATTGTCGATCTTGCAATAATTGTTTGTCTGATTGATTTCCATGTAATTACACTACCCCCAAGTGTCAATACATAACCACTAGTGTATTTTGTCTCATCTAAATCAGAGATCCAATTAGCATCATTGTACCCTTCTAGTACAACGTGAAATCCAGTATATTCAATGGCATAATTCATTAAACCTTTTAAGTATCTTATAAGTCTTGCAAATGTATCTCAATATTCTTGATTAGGACATTGAGTGTACCTATTCAATCTACCTACTACATAAGCAATATCAGGTCTAGAAAAGTTCATTAAATGTAATAAGCTCCCAATCATCTAGCCATACTAAGGTTGAGAAATAAAGTCTCATCTATTTTTCTTTAATTTAGAGTTAGCATCATAAGGGGTACTCACTAGTTTGAAGCCATAATACCCAAACTTCCTAAGAAATTTCTCAATGTATTGTTCATGGGATAGTAAAATATTATCTCCCTTTCTTATGATTCTAACTCCCAAAATCACATTGGTTTCACCCATGTCTTTTATTTCAAATTTAGATCCTAGAAATAACTTAGTTTTAGAGACTATGTTAATGTATTTAGCAAATATTAGCATGTCATCTATATATAAACATATAATGACACATTCACCACTTTCAAATTTAGAGTACACACATTTATCAACATCATTAATTGAAAAGTCATCACAAAGTAGAAAACTATCAAGTTTTTCATGCCACTGTTTTGGTGTCTGTTTTAATCCATGCAAAGATTTTGAAAGTTTGCGCACTTTGTTCTCTTGATCAAGAACGACACCCTTCAGGTTGAGTCATATAAATTTCCTCCTCTAATTCACCATCCAAAAAAGTTGTCTTAACATCCATTTGATATATAACTAGCTTATGGATAGCTACTAGAGCTAACAAAACTCAAATAGAGGAAATCATAGTCACAGAGGCAAAAGTATCAAAATAATCAATGTTGAGTTTTTGAGTAAAAATCCTTTGCTACTAATCTTGTCTTATATTTATCTATAGATCCATCAGGATGATACTTTTTCTTAAAGATCCACTTACAAACAATGAGTTTTTCTCTTTTTAGCAAACCTACAAAGTCCAAGTATTATTTTTCTTAATTGGGTCAATTTCAGTCTTATGGTCTTATCCCAATGTGTTATATCAGAAGTACTAATAGCTTCTAAAAGGCTTGTTGGATCATTTTTAACTAAATAAGTGTAAAAATAATCTCCAGAGGAGGTTTCCTTTCTCTGTCTTTTACTTTTCCTCAAATCCTCATATATGTCGTCACTATTAATATTTATAATATTTATAGGTTGTTCAAGTGTCTCACTAATTTTTAAAGAAAAAATATGTTCAAAGAACTCAATATTTTTGTCTTCACTATAGTATTATGCTCAATTATATCACTTTTAAGGACAAGAAACCTATAGGGAGCATTATGTTCCGCATAGCCTAAGAATATACAATAAGAAGTTTTAGAACCTATTTTTCTTTGCTTAAGATCGAGTAACATTACCTTAGCTAGGTACCCCCACACTCTTAGATATTTAAAATTAGATTGATAACCTCTCCATAATTCATAAGAAGTTTTACAAGTTTTCTTATGTGTATCATATTTTGTAAAAAACATGTTATAAGTATAGTTTCTCCTTAAAGGTTATCAGATGCGCTATAACTAATAAGCATAACATTCATCATTTCTTTAAAAATTCTATTTTTTTCTCTCAACTACTCATTAGACTCAGGTGAATATGGTCACTTCATGAATAATACATTTTTTAACACAATAATCATTACATATTCATCACATCTATATGATTTAATCCTTTTAATATTTCTATTTCATTGATTTTCTACTTCCACTTTATAAGTTAAGAATATGTCAAACTCTTCATCCTTATGTTTGATTATGTATACTTTGATGTAAATAGAGTAGTCATCACTAAATGTTAAAAATAATTTTTACCACCTTTAGACATTGTTTGTTTTAAATCAGCAGTATGAATTAATTTTAAGAGTTCAATTTGACGTTCTACAAATTGACAATTTTTCTTGGTTATTTTAGACTCTACACATATATCACATTTCCTACTTTGTTTATCATGCATATTAATTAATCTTAATCGTTACAATTTCATAACAAACGAGGAATTCACATATCCTAGTCTAGCATGTCATATATTATATGATTCAACAATATAAGAACAAGAACTAGATTCATTAAGAACTTCAAAGATATTAAGTACAAAAAGACCTTGATTACAATATCCCTTCTTTACAAATATATTATTTTTTTTCAAACCAATTTTATCATATTTGAATGACACTTTAACCTCAAATTTTCCTATTAGTGCTACATATATTAGATAAACTCTTATTGATGACACGTGTAGCACATCACTTAAGGCCAAATGTGAGTTTTAGAAGAAC